ATTCCAGCTTCAAAGGAGTCGGAGGGGGTTACAGATCATTTTTTCAGCTTTTTTTTTTGGGCCCCCCCCCCCCCCCCGCGACCCTAAAGTGCCTTGAAAAATCAAGCCTAAACTCTGAACTCCACCTTTCGACCCAATCCTCTCAGCAGAGCTGAGGTAAACAAAAACTCCAGCTTAGCTCCAAGGAGCTAGCTTTCGTGACAATGGATCATCGCGCCTACAAGACCCTGCACATGCCTTTGGAAGTGCCGGATGGATTCACAATCGAACAGGTTGGGGACAACCCGGCTACACCGGCTAACCCTCGGGATTACACTGGGGTGATGATCCCGCTCACCATGGAGCAGTACAAGTTCATTACAACCGCTGCCACATCGCAGCCAGGTGAGATACAGAAGATTCCGGGCGACATGAGGTCCCCCACACTGGAATGCTTTACAGCCTCATGGATTGTGTCGGCTACATCAGCTGGTTGATACATGAAGGTCTTGTCTTGACAGCGCACTGGACATGACAACCTTTTACATCTTCAAGGTCAACCTCCAAACGGACGAGCTTTTCCAAAAGGTTTACCAAAAGCAAGTGACATTGTTCAACAGGGGCTACATCAGCGCAGTCTTCCAACTACACAACGCACTTGCACATGGACCTTGTCGATCATGGAGAAGGAGTCTGGTACAATCATTAAGGTACAGGGCCACACTACCAATTACTACCAGCACTACAACCTCACGCGCAATTTTTAACACGTAGTCATCCTCGAGACAGTGCTCAACAATTTGGATCCTCTGGATGCGGGCCTCACCATGGATCTACATCACTACAGCTACGCAGCAGTACAATCCATCGCGGAGCCACCAGGACAAGAGTGATTCAGTACATCGTGGAGCATGGAATACAGCTCACAGGGAGCGGTACAATCCTGGTTGCTGGACAGGTGGGCTACAGCGCAAAGCTTCAGGACATCGATGGTACAACCATCTTGTCTCAACAACAGGGCTATCGACTCCTCAACAAGAAGCGCATCCTGGATGACAACTAGCTACATGCCATTTTGGCACACCAGAATTTGTTACAGGACATCTGCACAGATAAGGACAACGTTGCACAGGATACAGGCCTGGTAAATGGCCGCCTTCCTTGCTACATCCTGAACAGTTAGGGTGAGTCTGTACACGCATGAAGATGTACAACGAGTTGCGCTTTGTACACTAGAACATAGAGGTGTACAAACCGAGGAGGCGTGTTAGAATACATAGTCATTGTGCAGCCTTGGTGAACACCCTCATCTGCAATGCGTTGTACAATCAAGGCCTTGGGCCTTAGTACAGGAGTCATCATTGCCCTGGACACAAAAGACTACACTGCCGCGATGTCACATACAGGTTTACACTTCAGGCAAATAGGTTCTACACTTTCACATTGAGTTTAACATGTACAGATATAGAAATATATTTATATATATATACATGTTTATATATATAATGCCCCCCTGGAATACTCAGGCCTTCGTCCAAACATTGACATGTTTGCTAAAAATCATGCGAGATGCACTTTTCAGCTTCTAGGAATGATGCTCAAAAATGCACTTTTTTAGACCTTATAGAATCCGTACTTAGTGCAATCCAGGATACGCTAGCACGTGCTAGCACATATCAGTTTGACCCAAGTATGGAACAAAAGGTTTCCAGAAAAGTGGCCTGAGAATCTTCAATCTTGCCCCAAGTACATATTTGGAGAATCCCATCAAGAGTTGTCAAAGAACCTTCAGTCCTCAATCGTCAATCCATCCTGTGAAAGCAGATCCTGGATTGCCCCAGTGTGGAATTTGACAAGGCGGACAGGCAGAGCACGCTCCAAGAGTCAAACTGTGGATGTGCACCACCTGCGCTTTGCCAATAAGGAAAACGTGTGTCTTGAACACGTTACAGCTTTTGTGGGACTTGAGGGCTGGGCAGGATGGACGATTCTCAAAACAACATCTGGAGATCTTCAGTTCAATGCAGGTTGGAAAATTTTGCAGAGTGTAGTCAAGCTTTTCGGGGGCCAGGATTGAGGATGTTCTAAAACGATGTCTGTGGAAGCTTGAATAGTTGGCCTTCATCCAGGGCAAAATGATCTGAGCGAACGCTGAAAGCACCGCGTTCTACAGCGTTCATGCCCAGGATAAGATCTATGTTTGACAACACTTTTCTAGTTGTTGGTTTGGCTCAGTTCGTGCTTGGTTAAAACTACATGGAGTTAGATAAGGACAATAACCCTTATGATTTCTGTCCCTCTGTCAGAAACCACCGCTGTCTTTCCTGGCGCCTCCCCCAACACCCTGAGGGCCTGCAGCGGGGTGGCAGACCTTTTGCCACTGGCGGAGGAGGCCCTTTCGCGCCGCCAGATGCGATGGGGTGGATGTGCTGGCAGTGCCCCGCGGCTTGCGGCTTCCTGCCCCTGCAAGGTATTGCGGGGGGAAGAACTATCTGGCGGTTGCTGCTGTCTGATGACGTCATACTCTCTTGCCCCTACGCCGGTCCGCTCGGGGAGCTTGGGGACTTGTACTTGCTCTTCGCAGTGGATGCGGGTGGCGGGCATGACTGGGATGGCGGCAGCTGCCTGGGTGCAACAGTTTCCTTGCCTGCGCGGGCTGGCCTGGACGTGAGGGGCCATGTAGCCCCGAGCTGGGTCCCTCCTGAACCTCTTCAGATCTCCCTGTGACGCTTGCGGAGGGAGCAGTGAAGCAGTGGGGGAGGCTGAGCGGCGTGCGGCGGAGGGCATCCGGCCGCACATATCTCTTGTGATTTCTCTCTTGGTTCCAGTTTTAATTCAAGATGCAATATTGCGACGCGAAGGTCGTCCGGCACCTTGATGCGCACCTTGCGCAGGACCAGCGCCAGCAGCAAGCTGAACATGAAGTCCACGTCTTCGTGCGTGTGCCCGACTTGCAAGAAGTTGAGCACCGCGCTGTGAAACTTGTACTTGCGCACCAGGACAGCTAGGAACTTCACAACTTCAGAATTCTTCGCCTGAGCAGTCGTGTTGTCTGCTTGAACAACCAGGTGGTCCGGCATGGCGTCTGGACGCACACATGCGCTGGACTCTGGCAAGGGTGCGGGTCAAGACCTTGCAGAAGAAAGAGGCCCCGTGAAAGAAGTTCTCGTCGTCAGCAAGGTAGAAGTCGGCGCAGTAGCCGTGTGCCAAGGCCAGGTGAACAACAATCCTGGGCCTGTTGAATTTGTCCAGTGCTTTGGACTTCCGAAAGGTGTACTGAGGCCACACTCCCTTGTTCTTATCCAGGCCATCTATGATCACAGTCAGGACTCTGGACTCCGGACTCCGTGACTGCCAACGCAGGTGCCAGTAAATCAACCTGTCGTGGTACTGTTCCCGCAAATGGGCCTGCCACGCCTGAGCGCGGTTCCGCTTGTCCTGGACGGTCCCACGGCCATAATGGATGAACTGCGAGTGCTCAAAGCAAATGCTGCATTGACTGTGTTGGGACTGCTTGCGAAGACCGATGCAATGCTTCCATCCTTGGCTCTCGCTGGCTAAGGGCACTTTATCACAAACTTAGTTCACTCCTTTTTTGGCACAAGGTTGTACAAAGACAGGAATTATTAGAAGGTGCAAGCATCGTCCGTGCCAGCGTCTCCAAAACGTGCTCCAACTTGCTGACTGCCCTCCACACCGAGCAACTGCCCAAGCCAGGTATTGCCACCACAAGTCAATTGGCTTCTGGTTTTGTATGTAGCGGATTGGGAGGTCTTGCTCGTCCATGGATGCTGTCATGACATCTTGCAGAAAAGTTTGGGAGGGGTCCCAGCCCAAAATAGGAAGCATTTGGTGGAACTTGGAGTGAGGCTGCAAGGTGGGGACTGCTGATGCAGCCGGGCGCTCGTCAGCATCAATGGAGTTGTCAATGTCCTCCACGTGGCAGCTCGGATCCTCTGGAAGGAGCTCAGCCGCACTGTTGTACATCTCAAAGAAAAGCTGGTCGACTGAGATGCTGGCGTCTGCGCGCGCTCTGCCATTGTTCTGCCTCAGGTCCACAACGTTGCTTTTTGGAAGGTCCGCGCGCTGCAGCCCAGCAGTGCTGTCAACCTGCGCAAGCAAACCCTCTTGCCCAGAAAGCGCCACGCTGCCCTTGAAGCATCTGAGTCCTTGCCAGTGCTCCAGCAAGTGCTGAGCAGCTGTGAGCGGGCCTCAATCTTCAACTGCTGAAAAATCATCCGAACATGCGCCGCCTCGTCCACATCGAAGCCACCTTCGCAAGAGCTGCAAACGCCTGTCTTGCTGCTGGTGCTTCGGCATGGTTCGGCTAGCAGGCTTGCTGTAGCCGCCCGGGCTTCTGCCAAAGGCAATGCGGCGGTCTCACGGGACTCGCCAGCCAGAATGACCATGCGCAAGGTCAAGTGCACTTCTGGCATTGGCTTGGCCGGCATCCGCGCAGGCCTAGAACAGCCTGCTGGGCTTGGTGTCAACCACGACGGCGCTCTGCCAGATGCCGCCTGCTGCTGGCTGCAGACCTCAAGCGGGGAGCTTGATCTGGGGACTTTGGCCTTCGGCTCCACCGTGACAGGCGGCTGCAGCCAGGAGGCGCCGGCTGAAGCCGCAGGCGTCAGCCAGGAAGATCCTGGCGAACTGCGACTCTCTGCACTATGGCAAGGGCCGCTTCCAAGCCATGCTGCAAGGAAAAACCTTGCAACTTGGGCCGCTGAGGGCAAGATGGGCAACTGCAAGACATGCAACTGCAAGCAACATGCATGAAGGGCAAGCAACTTATCACATTACTTGGGCAACACGCCCTCTGCACTGCTTCTGACGCTTTGTGGCTTACAAGATCATGCGCTCTTTTCATTCTTGGCCTCAGGACTCTGAGACTCCGGCAGCGCTGTCTGCACTGAGAGGTCTCCACAAACCCCGCGTAACCCCGAATTTTGCTAAAACTGGATCTACAGCTTCTTACTCAGCACTGACAGCTCCTGGTCCACTTTGGATTTCCAGAGCCGGGAAGCTTCCTGGATAGCCTTGCTGACGCCGTCCTTTGTGGCCTTGGCACCGGGCTTCTTGCCGTTGCCTTTCAAGGTCTTCTTCATGTGGCCTTGCAAGAAGAACCAGTAAGCCTCCTGCGAAGCCGTCCTTGTCACCGCGCCTTTCATAGGCTTGCCCGGGTACTTCTTCTCCAAGGCGCTTCTGCTTTCACTCCAAAGCTTCCGCTTCAGCTGAAAGGACTCCTTGCTTTCATCATCAGAAGACTGGCGCTTCCCTGTGCCCTTGTCACCGTCTGCAACAAAGCAAGCTTCTTCGGTGTCGGCTTGGAAGTTGACGTGGTACACCGTCGCCTTCTTCTCGGCCGCGTCAATTTCCTGACCATAACTGTTAAAAGGGCAATCCGTCTCTCAACATTCAAAATTCAAGGCAGTCCTCGTTAAGCTTGAAGGCGCCAAAGACCAGAGCCAAGCCAGGCCTCTGGTCACTCAGCTCGCAGTCCTGGGCAGCCATTGCCCAGATCTCACCGGAGTCTGTGAAAAAAACCTTGGCAGGCTCCACAGACACCTCCGCAACTGCGCCCTTCTTGGCAATGAGCTCCTCCAAGGTCTCCGGCTGGCCAGGCACCTTGTCCACCACCTTTGCCTTTTTCCTGGGGCCGCCTCCATCGGACTCAGCACGGCGCTTGGTGCCTTCCAAGTGCGGCTGGCCAGACGGATTCCATTTGACATTGTGCTCTACCACTGCCGCCTCCCACTCTGCTCTGGACTCCGGACTCTGCAGCTTGGACTCCATGAGCTCCAGGCACGTTGCCCTGAGCGGCAACAAGTTGGAAGCAGCCGGGTAGGTCATGGTGAAGTCGCTGTCCTGCAAAGCCGGCGCCGTCCTGCCTTCGGAGTAGTTGGACAGCGGGGCCCAGTCCGGAACCTTGAGCAGCCCATCCGTGCAGCAGGCTTGAAGCTTTCTGCGGATCTGGTTGTTCAGCCACTTGCACACCCGGGCGTTGGCCTTAAAGGTGGACTCTCCGGGGTTGAGCTCCCTGGTGTTCATCTCGGCCCAGATGAGGCCGATGTAGAGCTGCCTGGGCGCACCGGCATAGTCCGCCTTGCGCATGAGGCACTCCGCAAGTGAGTGGTCAAAGGCAAACACATCGAGCCAGGCAGCAACTGCCTTCTTGGGCAAGCTCATCGATGCCCAGAGCGCATCGTGGAAGGCGGCTGGGATGGCCCAGCCACTGAGCCACTGCTTGCGGCGGGCGGGCTTGCTGAGGTCCAGGTTGCCACCACAGGTGGCGAAGCTCCGGCGGGGGTCCACCATGTTTTTGACGGCAAGCATGGGGACGCTTGCCGCATCCTTGATTGCCCCAGGCACAATCTGCCGCTTCCACAGAAGGCTTTGGGCAAAGTGGCTCAGCACCTTGTCGCCGCTGCTTTGGTCTGAGATGCACATGAAGAACTTGTGCAGCCCAGGGCGCTTGGACTGCATCTGGATGGAGGCGGGGTCGAAGGCAAGGTGAACTTCTCGAACAAGCAGGCGATAGTCGGGGTCAGCCAGGATCTGCCGGGTCTGGTTGGTGGCCTCGATGGTCGCCGCCTCGTTGTACTCATTCCCCCACGCTCCGCAATTCGGAGCAGCCACCAACATGCAGCTTGTCTCAGGGCTGGATGCAATCTGTGCTGCGTACTCCTTCACTGCAGCTTGCATGCCAGCCTGCGCGTCATACCCAAGGACAGTGCAGTTGCACCAGTACACTTTGTACACTGGGTCCATGGGGAGGCCCTGGTCATTGCAAAACTTGTTGATGGCAGCCTGTCGCTCCTTGTCCAGCTGCTCCTGCTGCAGGCCCAGGCCCTGAAGCTTGAATTCTTCAAGCTTTGCCTGGAACGTCTCCCAATAAGACTGCTCCTTTGCAAGCCTGGCCTTGGCTCTTGCCAGCTCCTCTTTCTCCAGGTCTGCGTTGGCCTTGGCCTCCATGTCATCCTTGCACTCCGGATCCAGCGCACCCTGACAGACAGTGCTCAAAAAATGAATTTATGACTCTGATTAACAAAGCTTTTTTGCTTACTTTTGGCCCCCTGCCTGAAAGCCAACGTCAGCCAGAAATCGGAACTGCACAGCAGTGAGCTTTGGGTTCATCATGCGGTGCTTCTCAGTGAGCTCTGTGTCGAGATAGCCGCGGCAGAGCCTCTCCTGCAAGCGGGCCACAGCCTTGTCTGTGAGGAGGTGCTGCCACTCACCCAGGAAGTGGGAAAAGATGGCAGCGATCGCCCAAGCAGTCTCGCCATCTTTTTGATCGCGGAAGCTGGAGGCCCCAAGGCTCAAGTGCACCTTCTTCTTGAGCCTCTTGGCGTCTGCAACTTTGAAGAGAAAGTACTGCACCTTGCGCTTGACATACCAATGCCTCTTCCGGTTGTCAACAGCCAGGATGTTGCGCCAGAGCTCGGAGTCCTGGTTCGTCTTGGGCTTCAAGCCGTTGAAGAAGGCATCTGCAGCCAGCACCTTGTATGGGAGAGCGCTATTTCTGATCAAGTTGGTCTGCCAGTGGTAGTCTATGGCTTGGAACGTGTCGGCGTCCAGCAGGGGCAGCGTCTTCACTATGCTGATTTCCATGTCAGTGAGCGGTTTCACCTCGTTCTCGGAGCTGCAGCTTCGGTGCAGCCTCTGCCCAGTCCATTCCATCCGCGCGCGCCTGGACCAGCAGGAGGTTGGAGACCTGGATGCAGTCAGGCCGGGGACGCGCAGACTCGGCAAACTTGTCCTGCAAGCACGCGAAGCGATCCTGCCGCTCCTGCCCTGCGGTCTTGTAAGTGCAACGGAAGCCATACAAAGCTTTAACCTGGGGGCTCAAGGCTTTGAGCTCATCGTCGCTGAGCTCCAGGTGGTTCACCCCCAGGAGCAAGATCTTCATTGCCAAGCTCTTCGCAAAGCCAATGCCATGGCCAACCATGAAGTCCTGCAGGGGCCCCCCCTCCACATGGATGCTCTTGGGGAAGGTGACATGGATGGGGTTTTCGATGGAGTTGTACGGTTTCTCAAGGAAGTCGCGTACACACCGGAGCACGTGCACCATCTGGGCAGGGTCAAAGCTGAGGTGCCATGGGTTCAGGAAGAGCTCAACAGTCTTGTTCGGACTTGGCACTGCTGGAACTGTGGTCTCAGCTGCTCTGCGAGAAAACTGGAAGCTTGGGTCAACCTTCTCCAGCCGTGTCTTGGCTCCCTCAAAGATGGCCTTGAGCTCCGCGCGGTCTTGGTCAAAATTGGTGGCCAGGTAGTCACCTCAGGTCAGTTACATGGCTGCCAAGGACAGCGTGTGCAAGTGATGGCCAGAAAAGCTTGCAAGACAAGGTGTGCCGGTCACTCACTCCGAGTTGCAGATCTCGACAGCGTCTGGCTGCTCTGGATCCCCAGTGCCTCCAAAGGTGTCCTCCAGCCATGCCTCGAACTTGGTCAAAATGCCTTTGACGGCTGAAGGCATTCCAGCAGCCTACTCGGAGCCCCTCAGGACTCAGGACTCTGAACTTGGCTTGAGCATTCAAATTGCATTCGCAGTGCAAAGTCAGAATGGAAAAAAAAGTAAGTGATCTAGAAATGAGAAAATGAAAGCAGAGCGTTAGAGCCATTTCTAGAGGGTATGTTGTCTAGGGATCGAGAAATGGCGCAAACCTAGTAGGTTAGTGCCATTTCTCTAGTGTACGGCATCATGTGCTGCCATTTGTTAACTGCCGATAGCCGAAGAAATAGAAATGGCAGCACCTGATGCCGTACACTTGAGAAATGGCACTAACCTACTAGGTTAGTGCCATTTCTCGATCCCTATACAACATACCCTCTAGAAATGGCTCTAACGTTCTGTTTTCATTTTCTCATTTCACCATTTGCTTTTTGGGGCGGTGGTTCAGAAATCTGTGATTCTTAAATGCACTCAAATGCACTCAATGTTGACTGGCTTGCAATGCGGTGCAACCACTCCCTTGCCAGGCGCACCTGCCCCTGCTCAGAACCACTTTTGGATGGGCCTGCGCCAAGGTCGGACATCCGGGACACGCACAGCCTGCCGGCGAGTGCCCGAGGCATTGTGAGGGGGAAGGGGGGGGTGGAGCAGCTAGTAAAGCAGCTTTCCACAGAAGACGGCGCCTCAATAATTTTGAACTCAGTTGTTGATGAGGCAGCCACCGAAAGCCTGTCTATTCTTATTGAGTTGGTGTAGGTTCAATGATGCATTGAAGGGTGAAGCGCCACCTTGCTCAAGTGCGGCCTGTGTTGCAAGCAGAATTATAGCTGCCAAAATGCGAAAATGATATCATCTAGCTTGGCCTGCTTTATCCCGAGTGAGCCGGGCCTTTCAGGAAACTGACAGCTTTTGGAAGACCTGGTGTGCATCAGTACCGAAAATATTCAACCAACTGTTCAGGTGAAAGCTTGAAACCAGTAATGGGTTGAAGGCCGAATGTGCAGCGGGGGTTCACTGCTTCAGTGGGAATGCGCACGGGCTGTCTGATCTACAAAGCAACGTTGGGTTTTGGTTAGACCCTTCAGAGGCCTAGGGAAACACACATTTGTCATTTGGACATGGTAAGGGTTCTCTATTTGGAAGTCGTGCTGTTACGCACATCGTTTCTCCAAATAGACACCCTTACCATCTCCAACTGACAACTTGTGGATGTTTCCATTGAAAAGGGGCGTCTAAAACCAACAATTCTTTCCATACCCTTGCCTTTGGCTTGCTGAACCCTAAGCTTAAAAAGCTGCCGTCTAAAGCCAACAAGTTTGTTTATACAATTTTGGCTGTCCATAGTTCTGAGCCCCACAATGTACCTTGACACTCGAAACGGTAAAATAAATAGTACGCGGTCTAAAACCGACATCCTTGTGGTGGAGCTGCTTCAAACCAAACCTTTGCAGCACACAAGAACCAGAAACATAGAGATGACTACACTTCAGCTCACCTGTGTTTTTTTTAAACGGGGCACAAGAGACCTGGGAATGATTCCCGTCCAACTACATTCCCTTCCAATCTGCTTTGCCCGTGGCCCAGCGCCCAAACGCCTGCCTTGCCCAAGCTCCACAGCCTCAAGGCACCTGATGAGTGCCCAAAGAAGCTGTTCAAAACGCCATGGTTTCGATGTTAGCTGCGCGCAACGAGTTGCACACTGCTGGGCTGAAACAAACTTGCACACACCTAACCTAATCTAGCAGTCCTGTCATGACATGCTTCACCAACCTCAAACTGCTGGCTTCTCACACATTACCGCGTTTTTCAATTTCTGCAACGGGTCGGTGGTTGGTGAAAAAGTCTTGGAACTCTGGACTCAGAAGTCTGTTTTGTTAACTTGCAAGTGTGATGTGTCCTGTTGAGAGTTGATTGAAAGCCAGGTGGGTACCCACAGAGTCCCAAGCACATGCTGTAGAATCAAAAGCTATGCCCCAAATTGGGCTGCCTGAGTAAAAAAAGAAACGCAGCGCGCACTCCTGCAGCAATCAATCCTCACGCAGCCCTGCTCGCCGCAACGAAGCTCGCCAGTGTCCACTCCGTGAGCGGTGCATCCGCATGCGCACCTCCAGGGTGACATCCACAGTCGCAGTGTCGGACGAAGAGGGTGAGCGCCTCGCACGGCGGCGGCGCCGCCTGCTCCGGGAGCGGTGTGCACCACGGGGCTTGGGGGCAGCAGCTTTGCACTTGTCACTTTCTGTCTTTTCTCCACTCTTTCTTTCAGCTGGCCCTTTTGGTTTCCCTGACTCTGCTGCCAGTGGGCCCCCCTCGTTCGAAAGCGGTGGCTCACCAGTCACCCCGTCTGCTGGACTTGTGACAACGTCCGAGTCAGAGGCGACAGGAGTAGGAGAGGCTGCAGGCTCCACAACGTCTGAGGGTCTGGGCTGCGGCAGCTGTGTGGACTGCGATGGGAGTGCTGGCTCTGGGGTCACAGGCTGTGGGACTGCTGCCTGTGTGGCCACTAGCTCTGTGGATTGCTGCGCTGCCGGGGCGGGCTCTGTGTGCGCAGTGCAACTTCCGGCTCTGGCACTTGGACTCCGCACTCTTGGGATCCGGACTTGTGGACTCCGGACTTTTGGACTCCGGCTCTGACTGGGCCTGGAGGGACAAACGTTGCTGCCTTGCACTCACTTGTCAGGCGCTCAACATCTTCAGGCCGGACAGCGCCAGCCTTCAAGGCTGGTGGGGCTGGGCGTGGGCATGAGAAGCCACCAGCTTTAGGTGTCATGCAGTCCATGGAGGCCGGAGCTTAGGGTCACTGAGCAAAACAGCTTTTTGACACGGGAGGTGCTTGCAGCCTTTTAGGCTTCTGAGTCCTGAGTCTCTTGAGTGTCTGCACCATGGCCCGCAAAAAGAACATGAACAAGGTGGCCATCTACACCCGAACGTCATCCAAGACAAACATGAAGGGAGACAGCTCACGTAAACAAATCCAAGCCGGCCTTGCAGCGCTGAAGTCCTCAGGCGTGAAGCCGTCCAAGAGCCTCCAGCAGGTGACAGAATGCATTTCCGGGATGCTGCCCTTGAACAAGAAGAAAAAGCTCCAGGCCTTGCTTGACGGGAAAACGAGCCATATTTTCGTGGAGAGCTTGCGTGCTTTGGGGCGCAAAGCAAGTGGCATTGAGGAAATCTATGAGAAGGCGAAGGAAACCAACACATGCATCGTTGTGGCCGACCTGCCGCCTGCCCTTTTCACTGCAAGCGCCAGCCCTGCAGAGAATTTTCAGCGTCGGATCATGGCAGCTGTTCAAGAGTTTGAAAGGGACACAATTGTCAACCGTTTGCAACAAGGTCTTCGGGCGAAGGCAGAGCAGCTGGCCAAAGCAGGCATGAACCCAAAAAAAGTGAATGGCAGGAAGTCGCACTTGGAAAAGCGCATGGCTCAAAAGGGCATCACCAAAGGCCAGTTGAAGTCCCTTTCTACCTTGTGCCGTGCCCGCAAAAGGGGTGACTTTGGATGGCGCGCCTTGGCCCCGAAGCTGTCCAAGATCTTGAAGTTGAAGAAGCCTATGGGGAAGGATGCGGCTATGACACTCCCCAAAGAGTTGAAGATTGCTTGAGTTGCTTCAGAGTCCTGCAGAGTCCTGAGATTTAGCTACATCATGAGTTTGTTGTACATTAAGTTGGTAGGAACAAGTTGTCAATGCAACGTAGCAGGACCACTGCACGATGTGAAAACAATGCATTTCACTTCGCGGCTTGCTACGCATCAAGACCAATACAGCCAACTGACAAAGAAGAGCGGTGATGAAAAATGAACTTCTTGGCACTTGGCAACATGCTTTTTCCCATGCCCAGACTCGGAGCTGCAGGCCTCAGGACTCTGAGCTTATTTGAATGGGTTTATTCTTGGCAAGGCTTTGCCAAAATGGTGCACTGACTAGCACGCTGCACAGGCTCAGCAGCCACGAAGGCTATCTACACAAAAACAGCGCCGGACTAAGTGCAAAGGGCCCGGACCATGGGGGCGACAGTTGCTGGGTGGGGCTCTACCCCGTGCTTTTTGAAAAAGGCTTTTGCCGCCCGCCACCATTTCTCAACTTTGAAGTTGTCGAAGTCAGACTCCTGAAATGCCGGGTCCAGGCACACGCATGCCAAATAGGACACAGTGCACCCCATGCAGACCATGCAGGGCATGCAGGGCATGCCGGATGATGGTTCCAGGCATGCATCAGCCAATGCAACAGCCAGGACAGGAGTCATCGTCAGATGATGAGGCTCAGCGCCATGTCAATGTCCCTGTCCAGGATCAGGCTCGGGCATCTTCAGTGTCAACTGTCCTTGTCAAGACTCCGCCGCCACAGCAGCCAAGTGATATGTCGTCAGTACAGGCCCGGGACCAGATGGAGATCACAAAGTCAGCAACGTTCCTGAGACAGCTGCCTTGCCAGCGGCTGTCGGAGAACCTGGAGGCGATCAATGCCCAGCTAAAAAGCACACTTTTGTGTGAGCTGTCAACTATCAGCTTGCTGAAGCTCCTGTGGGTCTTGACAAGGGTCAAGCCCAGCACAAAGATCCGAGACCTGCGTGTCTTGGCATGATCTGATTAGTCCTGACATATGACCGTTAAACTGAAACGATTGAACTTGTCATGATGTGTTGTGGCAGTGGCAAGTAAGCTAAGACTCAGACTAAGACAATGTACAAAGAATCTAACAGTTTAACACCCATCAGATAATTACAATGACTGGTGATGAACCTATGCGGACCTGAAGCAAAGACACAGCTGGCGCATGGTCGGGTGGTCAGAGTCCAGGGGCAGGAGGTGTTTGAAAAAATGTGATCGAAAAGTTCGAACGCAGCGCCCTCACAGACGACATGATCAACAGGATGGCGCATCAGTTTGGCTGGGAGGATACCATGCTGGGAACCAGATTAGGGTCACGTGTCGCCAGTAAGGCTGCAGCTGCTGCTGCTGTCAACGCCTCCGGCCATAACGCTAGCACTGGCAACAAGGACACCTCATGTCGCCATGAGTGTTGTGT